CCCCCACCCCCGTTTCCAAACTCTACGGTGTCAAAAACCTTTGATAATTCCAACCACAATGTCTACCAGCAGCTTCAGGGCTACTGATGTTTCAAATGGTACGATTATGAGCTTTAATAAGTAAAATTATACCAGCTATGTTTACATGCACAAAATGTTTTAATCGGATTGAAATGTATTCAGATTAAATAATCCGAATGTACTGTTTACATGGACACAATCCGATCATGAAAAGTGTTTACATGCACCAGAGTTTTATTCAGAATAAAAGTCCAGACATGTGCAGTGTTGTAAACTTTCAGCTCTACTTCCGTGTTACAAACGTAAACAAAGCTCCTCTGTGCGCTCAGGACGGACCTGTGTCAGCTTTTTATAACAGTAGAGACGCCGTTACTCGTCGGTTGAGCTGCAGCCTGCAGATGAAACAATACGTGCTTTTTATTTTTTGCGAAGCAACGTCTGCTGTTTGCCTCCTTTTTCACCTGTTAAGAGAGCGAGGAGGAAAAGTTCTGCACGGTGCTGCGCAGCTGGAGCGCTGCTGTGAATGAAAGTCAGCAGACATGCGCACAGGTCAGTTTTCTACAGTCAGAATAAGATGATCCGATTAAGTGTTTACATGAACCTCATTCTGATTATCAATCGGCATAACCCACCCTTTTCATTCGGATTAAAAATTCAGAATTCAGATTGGTCAGATTCAGATCGAGCTCAATCGGATCAGAATAATCGGAGCGGGCTGTTTACATGACGCATTTTTATTCCGAACGGCTGTTTAATCCGATTACTTTTGTCCATGTAAACGTAGCTAATGACAGACAACAAAAATTATATTTATAGTATTACAACTAAAACCGTTTTTGTCGCCGCCACCGCAGTTTGTCCTTCATGAGCCTTCGTAGACAAGATGGCGGTGCAAGATGGCAGCTGTCTTTGTGGCGACCCGCGACCATGGAGATATAAACAGCTTTTTTATAAGGTAAAAATAATAAAACAAGGTCTTTGTCTGTAATGATTAGACATGTTTTTTATTATTGTCATTAGTGATTATCTCAATTTCGGCTAAAAGAATCGACAAAATCCTGCACACTGTGCCTTTAAGCAAATCTGGTTGCTACCATCCTCAAACAAACTTTAAATAACCTTTTGGGTGAACTGCTCTTATCTCTAGTTTCTGTTAGCTTCTATAATAACTTTATTTGTAAAGCACTTTCAGACAAAATGAACAGTAGCAAGAGGTAAAAGCACAACAACAGATCAAATGCAATAAAATAAAACATTAAAACACATAAGATAAAGTGACTGAGTCTTTAACTTTGCTATCGTCCAACTCAACTTGTTGGGAATCTTTTTCACTCCTCTGCCAGACTGGATGTGCGCCAACCTCCCCTCCTGAGGTTATCAGTTCATTGTTCCCAGGTCCAACTGAATAAATACTGAGCGTGTGTCTCCTGCCTCCTCAGTTTCACTGAACACCAGAATTAAACCATGCTGTTCTTCAGCTCTGCTCTTTGTAAGTACATTTGTAGTAATGTGACTTTTAATATATATTTTTAATAACTATTCTATTTTCTTCTCTTTCAGTGCTGGCAGCAAGCTGTCTGCTTGTACATGCAGGTAATTATACTATGCAGATGTGTTTAATACATTTTGATGGTTGTTTTTATGCTTTTATTGATTGAATTTTTAGGCAGTCCAACAGAGACGGTTACCACCTGTGAATTCACCGTGCCCCAACGTCTGAGCTGTGGTAGGACATTTTTAATGACTTTAGCTTGACTTAAAGGTTCTACTTCCATGTAATGAAATGCCTTTTGTTTGTTTATCTGTCTCGACTCTGTAATAGAATCTGATGGAGTGATCAGTGTTCAGGACTCGTTGTATGGACGTGCGGACAGAGAGACCTGCAGCGAGGGGAAACTCTCAAGAGAAATTCTCAACACCAACTGTGCTATGGAGGGTGTCGTTGACATAGTCAGGCAGAGGTAAAACGAGTCCGCTGTGTAGGGCTGCAACGATTAATCGATTAATCGACGACTAATTGATTATCAAAATAGTTGATGACTAATTTAATAATCGATTAATCGTTTTCTTTCTATTTTTTTTGTTCTTTACTTTGTTTTTCTCTCCAAACTGCTTTGACACCTTCCACTGCCACATCTGCCTTTCTGTCCTCGACACACATGCACAGTAGTGGTAACTGGGGTAGGTCGTGGACGTCACAAGACTTTATACAGACAGGCTCTGGTATCATGGCTACCCAGCAAAGGTGCTCAAAAGTGTGGGATCATTTTAAGAAAATGAAAGAGAAACCTGTGTAATATCTGCAGAGCAGAACTTGCCTTCCACAGCAATTATTTTTAGTTAGCATATAGCTAAAATCTAACCATGATTATATAATAGCAGCTGCATTCTGACACGATAAGCTCTACGTTTTATATTCAATTAACGTATGATCCGATTAGTCGACTAATCGAAAAAAATAATCGGTGATTAATCGATTATAAAAATAATNCTGCCTGTAGTGGCGACCCGCGACCATGGAGATATAAACAGCTTTTTATAAGGTAAAAATAATAAAACAAGGTCTTTCTCTGCAATGATTAGACATGTTTTTTTTTTATTATTGTCATTAGTGATTATCTCAATTTTGGCTAAAAGAATTGACAAAATCCTACACTGTGCCTTTAAAGGAATGTGTATTGCTGACCACTTTTTCTTAGCAGAGTTGTCGATTTTAGATATTGCACCATCTCAAGCAATTACGAGGTGTTATGTTCAAACAGTGTTGTAAATGACTCTTAGCTACTACTGTATACAAAACACAATTTATTGACGTTATTGCGTAGACTAAGACAATTAGCTGTGGCAGCCATTTTGAATTAGGTCAACTCTGGTTGTGTCCAAATTCAGGGGCTGCCTCCTTCAAAGGCCAGGTTTGTCGGCCGGTTATGTCACAGCAGGCTGTTCAAATTCGAAGCCTCCTCCAATTGTGGCCMACAAATGCGTCTTCCTTTCCCCCCGAGGTGTCAAAAAACCTTTGATAATTCCAACCGCGATGTCTACCAGCAGCTTCAGGGCTAGTGATGTTTCAAATGGTATGATTATGAGCTTTAATAAGTGAAATTATACCAGCTATGTTTACATGCACAAAATGTTTTAATCGGATTGAAATGTATTCAGATTAAATAATCCGGATGTACTGTTTACATGGACACAATCCGATCATGAAAAGTGTACATGCACCGGAGTTTTATTCAGAATAAAAGTCCGGACATGCGCAGTCTTGTAAATGTTCAGCTCTACTTCCGTGTTACAAACGTAAACAAAGCTCCTCTGTGCCTCAGGGCGGACCTGTGTCGGCTTTTAATAACGGTAGAGACGTCGTTACTCCTCAGTTGAGCTGCAGCCTGCAGATGAAGCAATACGTGCTTTTTATTTTTATTTTTTGCGAAGCAACATCTGCAGTTTGCCTCCTTTTTCATCTGTTAAGAGAGCGAGGAGGAAAAGTTCTGCATGGTGCTGCGCAGCTGGAGCGCTGCTGTGAATGAAAGTCAGCAGACATGCGCACAGGTCAGTTTTCTACAGTCAGAATAAGATGATCCGATTAAGTGTTTACATGAACCTCATTCCGATTATCAATTGGCATAACCCACCCTTTTCATTCGGTTTAAAAATTCATTCAGATCGAGCTCAATCGGATCAGAATAATGGGAGCGGGCTGTTTACATGATGCATTTTTATTCCGAACGGCTGTTTAATCCGATTACTTTTGTCCATGTAAACGTAGCTAATGACAGACAACAAAAATTACATTTATAATATTACAACTAAAACCGTTTTTGACGCCGCCACCGCAGTTTGTCCTTCACGAGCCTTCTTCACGAGGGTTGGGGCGGGGGGGTGCGCAGCGCTGCGGCTTCAGAATAAATGAAAATGATTTAACACAGTTGTTTATACTTTTAGCAGCTCTTTTTTATTCCACAGCTGACCTGCTAAAAATTACAGATTTT